ATAGGTAGATGGATAGATGGATAGATGGATAGATAGATAGATAGATAGATAGATGGATAGACGGATAGACGGATAGACGGATAGACGGATAGACAGATAGATAGACGGATAGATAGACGGACGGACGGATAGGTAGATAGATAGATAGATAGATAGATAGATGGATAGACGGATAGACAGATAGACGGATAGACGGATAGACAGATAGACAGATAGACGGATAGACGGATAGACGGATGGACGGATGGACGGATGGACGGATGGATGGATGGATAGATAGACGGATAGATAGACGGACGGATAGATAGACGGACGGATAGATAGACGGACGGATAGATAGACGGACGGATAGATAGACGGACGGATAGATAGACGGACGGATAGATAGACGGACGGATAGATAGACGGACGGATAGACGGACAGACAGGTAGATAGACGGACAGACGGACGGATAGACGGACAGACGGACGGATAGACAGACAGATGGATAGATAGACGGATAGATAGACGGACGGAAGGACGGACAGATAGATAGACGGATAGATAGATGGATAGATAGACGGATAGATAGATGGATAGACGGACGGACGGACAGGTAGATAGATAGATAGACGGATAGATAGACGGATAGATAGATAGATAGACGGACGGACAGGTAGATGGATAGATGGATAGACGGATAGATAGATAGATAGATAGACGGACAGACAGGTAAATAGATGGACAGACGGACGGATAGATAGACAGACGGATAGATAGACAGACAGATGGATAGATAGACGGATAGATAGACGGACAGACGGACGGACAGATAGATAGACAGATAGATAGATAGATAGATAGATAGATAGATAGACGGATAGATAGATAGACGGACGGACGGACAGGTAGATAGATAACTAGATAGATAGACAGACAGATAGATAGACGGATAGATAGACGGACGGACGGACAGGTAGATGGATGGATAGATAGATAGACGGATAGATAGATAGATAGATAGATAGATAGATAGACGGACGGACGGACGGACGGACGGACAGGTAGATAGATAGACAGACGGACGGACGGACGGACAGGTAGATGGACGGACAGGTAGATGGATGGATAGATAGATAGACGGATAGATAGACAGACAAACAGACAGACAGATAGATGGATAGATAGATAGATAGATGGATAGATAGATAGATAGACAGACGGACGGACGGACAGGTAAGGTTCCCAAAAAGACTCATGGCTGTATTAGATCAAAAGGGTGCTTCTACTAAATACTGAGCAAAGGGTCTGAATACTTAGGACCATGTGATATTTCAGTTTTTCTTTTTTAATAAATCTGCAAAAATGTCAACAATTCTGTGTTTTTCTGTCAATATGGGGTGCTGTGTGTACATTGAGGAAAAAAAATTAACTTAAATGATTTTAGCAAATGGCTGCAATATAACAAAGAGTGAAAAATTTAAGGGGGTCTGAATACTTTCCGTACCCACTGTAGATCGACAGACGGACGGACGGACGGACGGATGGATGGACAGACAGATAGATAGATAAAAAATAAGTAACTCCATGTATTAAACTAATATTTTTTATTTAATACTTTAATAAATATTAATAATAATTTTATTTTTATAAATGATATTAAAAAATAACACTCCACGTTTAAATATAAAGAAATGATAAATAAAATATTCATATTAAATAAAAAATGTAAACATTTAAAAAATGTTGCTTAAATAAGCTGAAGTTTAAGTACTAAAATTATATATAAAAAAAAAAACTGAAATAAAAATAAATTAAGGCTAAATCGAAATATATAGAATATCTAATAAAAAGAACAAAAGCAAATAAATACGTAAAACTTTAACAAAAAATAAAAAGAAAAGATAGTTAAACATTCTGTCAGTGTAATTTTCAAGAGTTTTATCCACATGCATCACAAACAGCTGAAAATCTCATGAAAATCCATTTGTTAAAAGATGTGGAATAACCGCAGATAAAAATCAAATGCTGCTTTGTCCTCCAAAGTGAAATGTGACTTTTCATATTTCAATTTTCTGCATGTAAAAACATTTAATCTTTCATTACACTGTAAGCATTTTGCATGCACTTGTTGAGTTCTCCTGGGTCTGACGGTGGTCTTTTGCAGGTCTGGACACCACGAAGGATCCGTGTCAGAAGGTGAAGTGCAGTCGTCATAAAGTGTGTGTGGCTCAGGGATATCAGAGAGCGATGTGTGTGAACCGCAAGAAACTCCAGCACAGGTCAGTCTCGCTCGTATCAGCAGTCACAGTGTCCGAATAGAGTTTTCTTGACCATTTGCATCTTTTCTTTGACCTTTACAATGAAACGTTAAAAAGAACATAATTTATTCAAAATAGAAATCTTTTCTAACAATGTAAGTCTTTACTATTACTTTGCATCAATTTAACATATCCGTGCTGAATAAAAGTATTAATTTCTTTCAAAAAAAAGAAAGAAAAAATGTTATGACCTCAAACTTTTGAACAGTAGTGTATATTGTTTTGAATAAAAGCTGTTCTTTTTAACGTTTTATTCATCAAAGAATCCTGAAAAAAGTATCAGGTTCCAAAAAGAAATATTAAGTAGCACAACTGTTTCTAACAGTAATAATAAATCAGCATATTAGAATGATTTCTGAAGATCATGTGACACTGAAGACTGGAGTAATGATGCTGAAAATACAGCTGCGCATCACAGAAATAAATTACATTCTAACAGATCCACATAGAAAACAGCTGTTTTACATTGTAATAATATTTGACAATTTTACTGTATTTTTGATCAAATAAATGCAGCCTTGATGAACAAAAGAGACTTCTTTCAAAAACAATAAAAATCTTACTGATCCCAAACTTTTGAACGACAGTTTATGTATATATAAATTAAAAAAAGAAGTTTGCATATTGTTTTTTGTTGAGCATCATATTTTATACATAATTTTATGGCTCATAGATTTTTATCATGTTGATCATTTAGAGGCCTTAGAAATGTGTATTAATTATGAAACAAAAATAAAATCAAACACTTTAATTAAAAATACAAAAATACAAAATATATTAATTATAATATTCTCTTTCGGTCAAAAATAAAAGGTTTTGAAAATATTGTTTAATATAATTTAAAAAAAAATCATATGTTCTAATGTTTTCACTTTTTATAATTAATGAGAAGTATTAATGTTAAAGGTTTACCTTTTACCTGTTTTATTGATTGATTGATTGATTGATTGATTGATTGATTGTCATCGTGTGATTTTTGGTGAATTGTATTAAATCCAATTATGGTCAGTTTGTCCCGGAACATATTGATGGTAGCCAGAATTTCAACATAATACAAGAGATATCAGTTAAATTGAGATTATAAGATACTCTATAGAAGATTTAATGATCCAGTCATGTGCTTAACATTTATCGCTTCAGATATTGTAATAATGTATTTTAAACATGAACATCTATTTAAATAGAAGTACAAATGAACTCAAATGTACTTTAGTGTTTAGTGTTAATGGCTTATGTCTCTTTCGGTCTCTGTTCATTAGTTTATGAACGCACCGAACGTTTCTCATCGATGTGTGTGAGTGAGAGACTTTCAGCATTATCTGGTCCGCAGAGCTTTAGTGTAATCGGCAAAAACTAATGGGTCAGAACATTATAACCCGCTGTGTTGTTCCTATCTGCCGAAACGATCATTCATCTCTGAGTGTGTGTGTAATAGTGTTATTATCTGTGTGTGTGTGAGAGAGATAGTTTTTATTCAGTCAGTGTCATCTGACTAATGCACAAGCTTCACTTTCACTGTTCCTGAAAATAGTCCCAGCTAGGTAACTTCCAATAAGCCTAAAAGAACATAATTTATTCAAAATAGAAATCTTTTCTAACAATGTAAGTCTTTACTATTACTTTGCATCAATTTAACATATCCGTGCTGAATAAAAGTATTAATTTCTTTCAAAAAAAAGAAAGAAAAAATGTTATGACCTCAAACTTTTGAACAGTAGTGTATATTGTTTTGAATAAAAGCTGTTCTTTTTAACGTTTTATTCATCAAAGAATCCTGAAAAAAGTATCAGGTTCCAAAAAGAAATATTAAGTAGCACAACTGTTTCTAACAGTAATAATAAATCAGCATATTAGAATGATTTCTGAAGATCATGTGACACTGAAGACTGGAGTAATGATGCTGAAAATTGATTGATTGATTGATTGATTGATTGATTGATTGATTGATTGATTGATTGATTGATTGATTGATTGATTGATTGATTGATTGATTGATTGATTGATTGATTGATTGATTGATTGATTGATTGATTGATTGATTGATTGATTGATTGATTGATTGATTGTCATCGTGTGATTTTTGGTGAATTGTATTAAATCCAATTATGGTCAGTTTGTCCCGGAACATATTGATGGTAGCCAGAATTTCAACATAATACAAGAGATATCAGTTAAATTGAGATTATAAGATACTCTATAGAAGATTTAATGATCCAGTCATGTGCTTAACATTTATCGCTTCAGATATTGTAATAATGTATTTTAAACATGAACATCTATTTAAATAGAAGTACAAATGAACTCAAATGTACTTTAGTGTTTAGTGTTAATGGCTTATGTCTCTTTCGGTCTCTGTTCATTAGTTTATGAACGCACCGAACGTTTCTCATCGATGTGTGTGAGTGAGAGACTTTCAGCATTATCTGGTCCGCAGAGCTTTAGTGTAATCGGCAAAAACTAATGGGTCAGAACATTATAACCCGCTGTGTTGTTCCTATCTGCCGAAACGATCATTCATCTCTTAGTGTGTGTGTAATAGTGTTATTATCTGTGTGTGTGTGAGAGAGATAGTTTTTATTCAGTCAGTGTCATCTGACTAATGCACAAGCTTCACTTTCACTGTTCCTGAAAATAGTCCCAGCTAGGTAACTTCCAATAAGCCTATTTTCAGGCGCTGCATAATATCATTGCAAAAATATAGAAACTCTTTGGTCATTTGAGCGAGATGCTAACTGTCTAATCAGATTCAACGATCTATGCTAAGCTACAGCTAAAAGTGCTACCGCCAGACCCGGAGATCGGCTGAATGGATTAAAAAACGGTAAAACTCAACTGTTTAACTCTAGGGGAGTTGGAAAATTAGCCTA